GTTATTTAACGTGGCAACTGTGAAAACGGCAGTTGTTAAAGTGGCAACTATCAAAACAGTAACAATAAATATCACAGCTGTAAAAATGACAACTATAACAATGAGAGCTGTTAAGATGGTGCCCGATAAGTGCATCTGTAAAAATGACATGTATTAAAATGGCCCCCAGTGTTGAATCCATTATTGCTGTGTCATTATTACCGATGCATATATTAAAATGGACCTCAGTGTTGAATCCAGTATTACCGTGTCATTATTACCGATGCATATATTAAAATGGCCCCCAGTGTTGAATCCAGTATTACCGTGTCATTATTACCGATGCATATATTAAAATGGCCCCCAGTGTTGAATCCAGTATTACCGATGCTTATATTAAAATGGCCCCCAGTGTTGAATCCAGTATTACCTTATCATCGGTGTATACGTCTATTTAAAGTTAATTTCTGGGGATTCCAATTTCTGATGTGTGTATGTTTAACAGATACTTTCTGGTTACACTCGCCACACGCTACAAGTCATCAGTGACCTGCAACCAAATCTCTATAAGAGAAAATTCGATTGCCCTTCGTTTCCTACTTTTATTGTATGATTCTTCTCAAACAGTCCTTAACATGTATACATTATTGTACGATGCTTCTCAAGTAGTCCTTAACATGTATACATTATTGTACGATGCTTCTCAAGTAGTCCTTAACATGTATACATTATTGTACGATGCTTCTTAAGTAGTCCTTAACATGTATACATAATTGTTCGATTCTTCTCAAGCAGTCCTTAACATGTATACGTGATTGTACGATTATTCTTAAACAGTTTTAAGGTGACCAAAAATTCACGTGTTTCTCCCATGGATTCCTGTGCAATCGGGCTGTTAAAAGGGGCACTGAGATACCGTTGTCCTCGTTCACTAAATGGATTATGGAAAGCATCAAATAGGAAGGATGTGCTATGAGCATGTTAGCCTTACGACGGAACATTTTGTAATGGAAACTATGCTGCAGGGCTATTCTCAGAATGCAATTTCCTCAGATAGAGTATGACTGGACGTGACGACATGGACTGTAATGACGTGGTGAGGTTACAAAATCGTTTTAATATAAATTACTCAACAATCTGTATATATTTTTGTAGGTCTCATTTCTTAAGAAAATGTTTACTTGAACAGTTTAGGATATGTTATTAACAACTCTACTTAGAATATTAATTTCTCGAAAATTCAATTTCAATTATTTTCTTCACGTGTGACTTGTTTAAGGTTGTTTGTTTGTTTTTTGAATTTCGCTCAAGGCTACACGAGGGCTATCTGCGCTAGCCGTCACTAATTTAGCAGTGTAAGACTGGAGGGTGAATACAGTTCGGAGAAATTAATAGAACAAACAAATGTTGGTGACATGCGATAAAATAGAATAATGTTTGTTTGTTTGTTGTTAAGCATAAAGCTACACAATGGGTTATCCGTGCTCTGCCCACCGTGTGTATCGAAATCCGGTTTCTAGAGTTATAAGTCCGCATACATGCCGCTGTGCCATTGAGGGACATAGAATAAGGAAGCAGAAGGTGAGAGAAAGAAACAGAAAAGAAAAGAAGAAATAGATTGAAAAAATAAACAGAGGAGGAAGAAGACATTGAAGTGTTTGGGAGAAAAAGGAAATAAAAACAAACTGACAAAAAAAATGTGTTGGAAAGCATTATCCTGTTACATCTCGAATTAACGAAAGAAACAATGGGAAGTATCCTGTGGTCGCGATATGAACACTAGCAGGAAACTGTAACTTCGAGCTATGTCAGCTTTCATACCCCAGCTAGGTCGATTACACAGGTAGTGACACAATGGATCTTTAGATATGGAAACCTTCAGTGTTAAATTGATGCAATTTGTTGCCCAGCTTCCAAGGCAACACTGAAAAAGGTTTCATATCACATGATGCGCTCTTAGCCAATCACGACAAAGAATCCATGTAAGGGAGTAGAATTTTAAAAAAGGCCCGACATGACCAGGTGGTTAGGGCGCTCGACTCGCAATCTGCGGGTTCGAATCTCCGTCCCATCAAACATGCTCGCTCTTTCAGCCGTGGGGGCGATATAATGTAACAGCCAATCCCACTGTTCGTTGATAAAAGAGTAGCCCAAAAATTGGCGGTGGGTGGTTATGACTAGCTGCCTTCCTTTTAGTCTATCACTGTTAAATTAGGGACAGCTAGACCAGATAGCCCTATTGTAAAGTTCTACTGATTATAAGGAAAATTTGAGCGTATATAATCAAACACTGTATACATGTTAAGGACTACTTGAGAAGCATCGTACAATAATGTATACATGTTAAGGACTGTTTGAGAAGAATCATACAATATGTACAATCATGTATACATGTTAAGAAGAATAGTACAATCATGTATACATGGTAAGAAGAATAGTACAATCATGTATACGTGTTAAGAAGAATAGTACAATCATGTATACGTGTTAAGAAGAATAGTACAATCATGTATACGTGTTAAGAAGAATAGTGCAATCATGTATACATGTTAAGAAGAATAGTACAATCATGTATACGTGTTAAGAAGAATAGTACAATCATGTATACATGTTAAGAAGAATAATACAACCATGTGTACATGGTAAGAAGAATAGTACAATCATGTATACGTGTTAAGAAGAATAGTACAATCATGTATACATGTTAAGAAGAATAGTACAATCATGTATACGTGTTAAGAAGAATAGTACAATCATGTATACATGTTAAGAAGAATAGTTATCCTAAAGAACGATACACACGTCTTACGACAATGAGTAAAATCTAATTCAGAGGATGAAATAATTATGACCAAAAACATGTACGTCACTAATTAATCATGATAATTATAGATAATAGGCATGTAACTAAGCTCTGTCATAGATGGAAATAGTTTATAATATAAAGGACACAATTATTTTCCTCTCGACGCCAGGGGTCACCACTGCTATCTGTTCTTACTATCCATTTTGTTACTTACCCATAAAATAATCCGAAAATAGGAATCAAAATAGGAAAAGTCCCATGTAATTTGTGTCTGATTCTAAAACGCTTACGAATGTGTTTGTGTAAATCATTAAAAAACTTGACATTCACGTGCTATGGCTACATTACGTTTTCTGTGGTTTTAAAGGTCAAAGGTCAATGCAGCT